AAAGGTAATATTATCGCGTCAAGAATAAAACTGATCTTAGGTTAAAATTTACTTTAATTAAGAAAATAAAATTTGGATGAACGCTGTTGTAATTTTGTGAAGATTCTCGCACTAAAAAACAAAACTCAAACGCGCGGCCTCAATGCCGTCAACCTATAACAAGGAGTTTCAAAAGAATTTCGTACGTTTTTACGATTACAAACCGATCAATATTACATAAACAATTTGCACTTTGTTTCTACCAATATTTGTAACCGAGCGTTATTGACGCTCTTTTACAAACCTTACAGACATTTTGCGAGGGGGAGGGGGAAATGACTTAAGTAATCCACTAGACACGGCCTGTGTCAATCCGGGGTAGTCCGGAGATAATCCGGTGATTATTTCGGGCGTAATCCAGGGGTAATCCGGGGTTATCCGGCGGTATCAGGGGTGATTCGAGAGTACTCGGGTGGTAATCCGTTGTACTACACGAGATCTCAGAGCCGTTTCCTCCTCGATTGCACGTCGCGGGGCGCACGTTGTACTAAGGACTTCCTGTTCCCCCTCAGGTGTCCTCCTGGCCCACCCCGGGCCGTGCTCCGCCGGGGAGACGGCCGCCCCGGGCCGCCTGGACGACGCCCAGCTGCCCGGCGGGCGAGACCTGCACCGGCGGCGGCGCTCGGCCAGCGAGGAGAAGCGGAAGTGGCAGGAATGTGAAAAGGAGCGCCAGGTGAGTGTGCGCCGAGCGGCGGGCCGACACCCTGCTCCCGCTGACTGACCGCCCCGTGTTGCAGTGCCACCAGGCGACATGCTCACAGTGCGGCGGGGACGACGGGAACTGCAAGGTCATGTGCTGGAACAACTGCGAGTGCGCGTGCGGCGGGTACGCAAGGGGCGGCATGGACCACCGCCTGTGGCGGGAGTGCTACACGCAGTGTCCGGGAAAATACTGGGAGTGTTTGGGGAACTGCGGAGGGGACGAGTGCAGGGGCTCGTGCTGGCTGGACTTAAAGAAGTGTGACTGCGAATGTGTCCAGCGCGCCGGCAACCAGTCCAGCGCGGCCAGCACAACTACCGGCACCACTAGTGCTCCCAGCACCATCGGCGCTCCCAGCACCACTAGCACCACCAGCGCCAGCGCTCCCAGCACCACCAGCGCTCCCAGCTCCACCAGCACTAAAAGGGCTCCCAGCACCACTAGCACTACCAGCGCTCCCAGCACCGCCGCGGCCGTCACCCCCGTGGAGCCCCCCAGGTCGCCACCGGCGCCCGTGTGCGAGGGCTGGGGCTGCGCGCTCCTGCTCGTGCTCGCGTGCGCGCTCGTGTGCGTGGGCGCGGCCCTGTGCGCGCGGACGCGCGCGCCGGCCTCGGCCGTCTGCTGCTTTATTGGCTATGCCCCCGGCGCGGTGGCCCAGCCCGCCCCGCACCCCCAGACCAGTACCAACGGTGACGTCGAACTGCTGCCTATATCTAAGCCGCCGGTCGAGCGAGATGCCTTCGATATGCCACTGCATTCAAGGAATGTTTTTGATTTAAAGACTGATACTTTCGTATCACAAAGAACGCTGGATTCTTGATTTTAGAAATAAAAAGCATTTTGCACTTGACTCAAGAGCAATTTCCCTTGTTCTGAGAGAAACCCGCTCGATTCAAGTACCAAATGCACTTTGAAAATGTACTATAAAAGTGACAGTAAGTGCCCCAAAAAATAAAAGCGCGCAACTTCTGTATATGTTTCTGTGTTCTTTTGACTATCGCCTTTACCAGCCAGGAACACTGGGGGCGGTGTTATCAGTGTCCTGGAGGACACATGCGGCTGCAGCAAGGCATGAGTCAGTCACTCGCGAGCAGCCGGGTGAGGTCCACGCCGACGAGTACAGCCCTAGGATGCTGGTCGCCACGATGATCGCGGTTCTGCTGCCGCTCGCCGCCTCCTGCCCGTGCCCGGCCGCGCCCGCCGAGCAAGAGGTGTGCGGCTCGGACCAGCGCACCTACCGCAGCGAGTGCGACCTTCGCTCCACCGCCCCTGGTCAGTACACTCACCCGAAAGAGTATATCCGGGGACTTACAGTACTCTACATTCCAAAATATGTTCCGAAAACGCTGAAGTAGTGTTTTTTTTTTTTTTTTTTTGGGGGGGGGGGGTGCCCTTTGCGCTGCGACAACCACGGTCAGTACACTCACCACCGAGAGTACATACGGAAACCCGTACAGAAAAAAGGATATCTAGAATGTCTCCAGCTGAGACATCGTAGAGACATATTGAAGACGACATGCAGACTGCTACGAGACATTCTGGAGATACAATTGGAGTCACCCTAGAGCCGTGTTGGAGACAATGTAGAGATATTCTCGAGTCATCGCGGTGTCTCGTAGGTGTATCCATAAAGTCTCGAAAAGGAGTCTGCCTCGAGGCAATGCCGAAACATTTCTAGGGAGACACCGTAGAGACATTCTGGAGTCATGTCCGGAGACATTTCGACGTCAGAGCGGTGACTGGCGGACCAGGCATCTCCGAGACACAGGCTAGTCAGCTACTGCTCAGTGTTCCGCCTCGCTCCCCTCCTGTGTTCACTATGGCCTAGTGGATACAGCACCCGACTGGGAAGCGAGAAGTTCTCGGTTCGAGTCGGACTGGCGGCGCGCTGCGGCGCGCTGCGGCGCGCCCTCCCGTTCCGTTTTTACTGATTTCTGCTGCGCGCCGTCTCTAGAATGTCTCCACGGTGCCTCCCACAGGTCTCGCCTCTGACGTCGAAATGTCTCCGGACATGACTCCAGAATGTCTCTACGGTGTCTCCCGAGAAATGTCTCGGCATTGCCTCGAGGCAGACTCCTTTTCGAGACTTTATGGATACACCTACGAGACACCGCGATGACTCGAGAATATCTCTACGTTGTCTCCAACACGGCTCTAGGGTGACTCCAATTTTATCTCCAGAATGTCTCGTAGCAGTCTGCATGTCGTCTTCAATATGTCTCTACGATGTCTCGGCTGGAGACATTCTAGATCTCTTTTTTTCTGTACGGGTAATCCGTTGTACACGCGAGATCTCAGAGTCGTTTCCCCCTCGATTGCACGTCGCGAGGCGCACGTCGTATTAAGGACTGCCTGTTGCCCCACAGGTGTCCTCCTGGCCCACCCCGGGCCGTGCTCCGCCAGGGAGACGGCCGCCCCGGGCCGCCTGGACAACGCCGCCCAGCTGCCCGGCGGGCGCGACCTGCACCGGCGGCGGCGCTCGGTCAGCGAGGAGAAGCGGAAGTGGGAGGAATGTGAAGCGGACCAGGTGAGTGTGCGCGCCGAGCGGCAGGCTGACACCCTGCTCCCGCTGACTGACCGCCCCGTGTTGCAGTGCGCGGGTGCGACCTGCTCAGAGTGCGGCGGGGGCGACGCGGAATGCCAGCTCATGTGCTGGAGGAACTGCTGGTGCGCGTGCGGCGGGTACGCACCTGGCGACATGGACTACCGCCTGTGGAGGGAGTGCCACATAGAGAGGCGGTGCACGAGCAAATACTTGGAGTGTTTGGGGAACTGCGGAGGGCAGGAGTGCAAGGACTCGTGCTGGCTGGACTACAAGAAGTGTGACTGCGAGTGTGCCCAGCGGGCCGGCAACCAGTCCAGCGCGGCCAGCACGACAACCGGCACCACCAGCACCACTAGTGCCACCAGCGCTCCCAGCACAAATAGCAGCACCAGCGCTCCCAGCTCCACTAGCACTACCAGCACAACCAGCACCACTAGCACTACCAGCCCCACCAACACTCCCACCACCAGCACCACTAGCACCACCACCAGCGCCCCCAGCACGGCCGCGGCCGCCCCGCCCGGGGAGCCCCCCAGGTCGGCGCTGGTGTGCGAGGGCTGGGGCTGCGCGCTCCTGCTCGTGCTCGCGTGCGCGCTCGTGTGCGTGGGCGCGGCCCTGTGCGCGTGGACGCGCGCGCGGGCCCCCGTCACCTGCTGCATCATAGGCTACGCCCCCAGCACGGTGGCCAAGCCCGCCCCGCACCCCCAGACCAGGACCAACGGCGACGTCGAACTGCTGCCTGTATCGAAGCCGCCGGTCGAGCGATGTGCCTCTGATATGCCACTGCATTCAAGGAATGTTTTTAAAGACTGATGTTTTTGTATCAAAAAGAACGCTGGATTCTTGATTTTAGAGCAATGCTCTTAATCGAAATAAAGTGCATTTTGCACTTGATTCAAGAGTAATTTCCCTTGTTCTGAGAGAAACCCGCTTGATTCAAGTACCAAACGCACTTAAAAATGTTCCGTAAAAATGACCGTAATAAGTGCCTAACAAAATAAAAGCGTACCACTTTTGTATATGTTTCTTGGTTCCTTTGACTATCGCCCGAGGAGGAAATCACTAGGGTTCGAAGCGTACGGACTATTTCGTAGTATTTCTCCTACCATTTCGGTTATTTCTCCTGCCATTTCGGCTATTTCCCGCCTATTTCGGATTATTTCAGGCTATTTCGCGTCTATTTCGTCTTTATTTCGCTCTATTTCGCCTCTATTTCGCCTTTATATCGGACTATTTCGGGGGAAGGTGTACGAGCTATTTCGCAAGTGATTTCCCCCTCGCTATCGCCTTTACCAGGAGCACTGGGGGGCGGGGTTATCAGCGGGCAGCGTCCTGGAGAACAGATGCGGCTGCAGCAAGGCATGAGTCAGTCACTCGCGAGCAGCCGGCTGAGGTCCACGCCGACGAGTACAGCCCCAGGATGCAGGCCGCCACGATGATCGTGGTTCTGCTGCCGCTCGCCGCCTCCTGCCCGTGCCCGGCCCAGGACCCGGCCGCCGAGGTGTGCGGCTCGGACCAGCGCACCTACCGCAGCCAGTGCGACCTGCGCTGCTCCACCCCCGGTCAGTACACTCACCCGAAAGAGTATATCCCGGGACTTACAGTACTTTAAATTTCAAAATCTGTTTCAAAAACGCTGAAGTATTTTTTTTTTTTGGGGGGGGGGGGTGCCGTTAAGTTTAAGAAAACCAAGTCCCACTGATAAACCAAGTGTGCGAAGGCTTAAAACTTCCTTATAGGTTGGATGCCCACTGCCTCACTCACTGCGTGGGAAGTGCTCAACAGAGAAGGTGCACACTTGCAAGTGCATGTTACTTCGTATACGCATACTCTACACTGTTAAAAATTACAACAGAAAATAACTACAGAATGGGCTGGTAATTTTGAAAACAGTGTAATCCTGTAGTTTGCACTGTGCTTTATTCTGGAGGAAATTTCTTTTCAAGCAATGGCATAAGTCCTTATCCGTCAAATACCAGTCGAACAGATTTTGACCGTAGTATAAAAGTACAGGACGATCTGTATGAATTCTGTTTCTGGGTACAGAATTTTTAACAGTGTAGGTTTCCCCCCAGGACTGTCCCTGTTGCACCCCGGGCCATGCTTCCCCGTGAGTACCGGCGCGCCGGGCCGCCTGGAGCACGACAACGCCGCCCAGCTGACCAGCGGGCTCGGACACCAGCGGCCGCGGCGCTCGGCCACCGACCAGCGGCGGGAGTGGGCCGAGTGCGAGAGGGATCAGGTGAGTTTCCACGCGCCCAGGCCGACATTGGTACACTCTAAAAAATAATACAGAATTCTGTATCAAATTTGATACAGAATTCTGTATCAGGCTTTTGTGATATGGAAACATGTAACATGGGTACAAAATTCTGTAATCTGATCAAAATGTTACAAAATTACGTAAATGTTACTAATTTCTGTAACAGATACAAAATCAAGTAACGTTGGATACAATTTTCTGTATCCCTGGATACAGAATTATGGAACTTGGTTGGCACGGTCTCCGGGAGCCCCGGTGGCATGACCCCGGGTTCCAGCGGACCTCTCCTTAGGTAGCCTGGGTGGCCGCGCGGGTAAAGGCGCGACTTCCTAATCCGAGGGTCTGGGGTTCAACTCCCGGTGCGGCAAGAAGCATTCCTTTAAATTAAATCAAATGAGTTAGATCCCCAGAAAAAAAGAAGAGGAGGAAAGGGAGGAAGAGTAACTAGAAAAAGAATTACTATTTTAAAATCCCAAAAAGGTTCTGTATCAGGTGATACAGATTTTCGTATCCATGTTACAGATTAAAATCTGTATCAAAAATGATACAAATTTCTGTAACATGTGATATGTGAATTACTGCGTAACAATGTTACAGAATTTTGTACTGATTTTTTTTAGAGTGTAACCAATAATTTTGCTCTTCTTTTAGCAGATGATTAACTTAAGTGCCCATTATTGACTTAACATAAAGAATATAAGTAAATTGAAGGTCTCTTTACTTTAAGGTAACTTTAAGCTAGTTTGATAGAAAATTAGAACACAAACCACAGACCTATTCTTAAATTTGTACCTCTGCTGTCAAGATAAGGCGTCAGCTAGCTTTTACTCTCGATAAGCAGGAAAGAGAGAACTAAGAGCAAAACCGGAAATCACATATTTGTGCGCTGGGGGAATAGTGTCCGGCTGGCTGGCTGAGTGTCGCGCTGGGTAAGCCCCTTCCTTGCCCTGCCTAACAATACTGGGCCAGCCTGCCCTCCGCGTATATGATGTCCTCTACGCCACTAGGCCACCGAATTGCAAGATTGCAAGCAACCAAACAGATTGCAGCAAATGAGATAAAATAAAAACATAGCCCTATTCATAAATTTGTATCATCTGCTTTCAAGATCGATTCTTGATTGAGATTTTTTGCTGTAAAATCGATTTTTCATAGAGTTTTGTGACTTTTTCCTGATTTTTCTGAATTTGACTTTGGAGTCACTACTGACTTCTTTGAGTGAAACGTTCCCCTCGCAACCCCGTGTCGCAGTGCCACAACGCGACCGGCTGCGGCTGCCGGCCGGGCGACGACAGCTGCGCGCACATGTGCCGCTGGGGCTGCGAGTGCGGCTGCGGCGGGTACCCGCCGGGCGGCACGGACTACGGCCCGTGGCGCGCGTGCTACGACGGCGAGAGGCAGTGCGGCGACAAGTACCTGGCGTGCGACGCGGGCTGCTGGGGGCGGCGCGAGTGCGAGGACGCGTGCCACCTGGACTACAACCGGTGCCACTGCGAGTGCGTGCAGCGCGCGCACGCCGCCACCGAGCAGAGGCGGAAGTGGGCCCAGTGCGAGGCCGAGCGCCAGGTGAGCGTCCTCGTGTTGCCCCGCGCTCTCCTCCTCGGAATTGAAGTTTTCCGAAAATGTTTAAGTTAAAAAAAAAAAAAAAAAAAAAAAAAAAAAACTCGTTTAAATTCGCATTTTTTCTGGCTCTCAAAACCCTCTCCACCCACTGTGAAAAATATTTTCGTACAAGTCGATACGGAGTGCTTGCACATTTTTTTACAATCTTGAATTGTTTTTTCACGACTTATTCCAATGACAATTTCCCCGTACTCTGTACGACAATTGTTGCCGACTGACCCGTCCCGCTGGTGTTGCAGTGCGGCTCTGCGACCTGCGGCGAGTGCAGGGGCGACAGGAGCTGTGCGTCGATGTGCCGGTGGAACTGCGAGTGCTCCTGCGCCGGGTACCCGCGCGGCGGCGCGGACTGGGGCCTGTTCCAGAAGTGCTTCGCGCGCAGGGGGTGTTCGCGTACGCAGACGGCGTGTGTCGCGGGCTGCGGGGGCCAGGGGTGCAAGGACGCGTGCTACCTGGCCTTCAAGAAGTGCGACTGCGAGTGCATGCTCGAGGCCGGCAACAGCACCACCAGCAGTCCCCGCACAACCAAGCAGGCTGCCGGCGCGACAAGCACTCTCCGCACAACCCCCACAACCAGCACAACAAGCACTCCTCGCTCAATCGTCACAACCAGCACACTCCCCACAACCAGCACACTCCCAACAACCAGAACAATCTTCACAACAAGCACTCTCAGCACAACCATCATACCCCGCACAACCAGCGTACCCCGCACAACCAGCATTCCCAGCACAACCCTCACGACCAGCACTCCTCAAACAACCGGCACTCCTCGCACAAGCAGCGCTACCCGCACAACCAGCACTCCCCGCACAACCAGCACCCCCGGCACCAGGCTCCTCCCTCTCACGACACCCGCCGCCGCGACGCGTGCGCCGGCGTGCGCGGGCTGGGGCTGCGCGCTCGTGGTCCTGCTCGTGTGCGCGGGCGCCGGCGCGGGCGTGTCGGCGTGCGTGTGGGCGCGCGCGCGCACTCGGGCCGTCTCGTACTACCCAAGGCTCGACACCAGCATGACGGTGCTGCACAGGGTGCCAGGGTCACCCGAAACGCACATCGAGGCGGAGGAGGCGAGCGCCCACCGGCGGCGGACTCACGGCGACGTCGAGCTGGCGTCTGTCGACGAGCCACCGCCCTAGAGATGTGCTCATCGTCGAGTAGGCGGTACGATATGTTCTCGAATCAAAATTACAAGTTGGCCATTTTTTAGCAATGCTAAATACATTCTGTGTTAATCATTCACCTCGACATGCATCACATCCACAAAGTAGCAGTTTAACGAATAAAATGACGGAGTGGGCTCCGCGGCACCACATGAAAACTGCGACACGTTGGCGCGACCTCCCACCCGCACACGTTGCTTCCAGTCTCGAGGCTACGCTCGGCTATCACGCGGACCGCGGAGCCTGATAGCGTGAAGCTGGTGCAAGCAGGAGACTGAGCCAGTCGCCGGGCAGACACAGCAACACCGGGGTAGGGCCGCGTGTTGCAAAAAACTCACCTGCAACAAAAAGAGAAAATACACAAAATGAAACCTTATTCAAGATAAATTTAAACCGATTTTAACATATTGATTTGTATATATGACATATAGACATATAATGCTATATTTGGGGGTGGTTAGGTTCAAGGTAAAAATCAAGTGAGCCCGCCTCAACCTCCAGACCTCAACCACGTAGAAAACCCAAGTGTACGAAACGACGCACACAAATTTAGGTGAGTGAATTTCCATTTAGACTCGTAAAGGTGAGAGTTTTCCCGACAAACTACTCGTACACTTTGCGTCAACACGTGTTCTAATAGCAATTCATACACTTACAAGTGTGTGATACATTCACACACTTTCCAGTGCATTATTAGCGGCGGAGGTGCCAACATCACACAGACGAAGTCGCCAGTCGTCACGCTGCTTCACGCGTCCGTGACCCGTCCCGAAAGGTAAGAGGTCTGCCCGGAATAGACTTGATATTGATTCCAGGCGGGACCGGACCGCGCGGCCGACCCATCCAGGGCGGCCTGGAGCCTGCCTGGAGAAACACACAATCTCACCAAATAGAAATAAATAACTTTGGTGGTCGTTTCCAGTTCCGATTTTTCTTGCGTGTACAAGAACGGTGCGAAAGGCGATGTGTGAAATGCTACACTCATAGAACCATTTAGTTGATACAACTAAATCAGGGTTGTAAGAAACAAAATTTAGTTCCTAAAACCAACTCAAATTTAGTGACCCAATTTTTAACTAAATGTAGTCGCACCGATCAAATTAAGTCATGTAGACTAAAATATTTCATCGCTAACGGACAAATTTTAGTCCCAAGAGCTAAAATTTCTTCGGTTTTGAATTTGGTTCTCTGGACTAAACGGTCTTCTGGGTGTATAGAAATGTACATCGAACATTCACTGCGAACCCACACCCAACATAGGAAGCCGACGCCGACGAGTCTGTCGTGTGACTCCGCTTTGCTTTTGCAGTCCGAGGCGTGCGAATCGTAAGCAGACGTCTCCAGCAGCGTTACTGTCTTCGACAACGCGCGTTCAATTTCCGCCGGTTACGACAGCGAGCTTGGGGGTGATAGGACATGAAGAGGGCCGTCAGCGCCATGGCTCCGCCGCTGCTCTGCTGCTGCTCGCCATTCAGGAAGCCGAGGGGGAGGTGACTCCCGGTTCACGCGGCCCGCGGGCGTTTTTACGGCGTTATTACGACGCCATTTCTACATCATTCCAACGCACGTAGGACAACGAGGGGGTAAAGTATAGCAAAAAAAAAATAAAAAAATGGAGGGGCGGGGGCGAAAGGTCAGAAAACTCGATAAAAGAAGAACGCAGTGACCCGCACCGGCCGGCCAGGCCGAGGGTGTCCTTCCAAACGTGAACAGCAAAAAAGAGAAGGAAAACGAAGGAATCGGCAGGGTGCGTATTTTTCTTCGGCGCTTCGTGCGTTCCCTCACTTTCGCTTTTTCGTGTCTTGTTCTTTCCGGGGCGGTCGTGCGCAAGCCGGCAGCTGGGGATCCCCAGGTTTGGCATTAATTAAATGGGCAATGGCACGGAGTAAGTCGACACGGAGCCCCGCGTCGGGTCGGGCGGGCCGCGGGGCCCAGCCAGCCGCCAGCCCCGGACCCAGCAGAGAGCCGTCCGACCCTTCGGGACCCGACGGCGCAGGGGTCGCGGCCCCGCAGAGCTGATGGGTTATCTACCGGAAAATACAGGACCGGCCACGGCTGAACACCGTAAACCGACGGTGCGAATTATATGGAGTAAAGTCGAGCGGGGCATCGCCCCGATCCACTGAAAAAGCCTCTACAACCCCCCCCTAAAAAACAACAACATAATAGTGGATGGAATTTTGAAACTAAAATTTTTAAAATATTTTTTACGACAAAAATGTTTGCGAATGTTGAAAAAGCATTACTCGGACACGAATTAGTTTTTACACTTGGTTTTTCACAATCAACCTCGAGACAAAGGAAGGACTTCAAAAGAAAACAAAAATAAAGGCTGTCATTATCGAAGCCCCCTTCTTTCTTCCCCCCATCTTGCATACTTTTGCAGCGCGCGCAGAAGTAAACGCTTCCGACCGCAACAACGCTCGCTTTGTTGTGCTGGCGCCCGCAGTGCAGCCCGCCCTGCTTGCCATGCCGACGGGGAGGCGCACTGTGCTTCCTGCCCCCCAGCCGATAACCATCCCCCCTATAACAGAGCTATGCGCGCTAACGACCGGTCGTGTGGCTCTCGGCAGAAACGTCAACGCCTCCGCCACCGTGAGTGATATACCTCAGCAGAAACCTGTGACATTGCGCAAAGTGTGGGTTCTCTTCTGACCGTCTCGATAATATCGGTGACAACAACAACGCTGGTCTTAACAAGGCCTCCGTGCTGGAAACAATTAAAAGAAACAAACACATTCCAGGACAAAGCAGCTTGTTCGCTTGTTCAACTACACGACGGTACATATTTTTAGGCAGTCCTTTAAAGACTGGACTCCGTTTCCTAGAAGCCAGCCTGATCCAGTTATCCGGTTAAAATACAAGCCAGCGCTCAGCCCCAGTCCAGCTAGACATACGCCTTTAATGTCTCAGGAAAATTTTACCGTTGTTGTTTCCATTTTGTTGGTGCCAGCTTTCAAATCATCCGTCGACTGCCTTTGCTACAGGCCAGCAGGCCATTTTTTTTTAACGTCTCCAGCTGGGTGTTTTCGCGTTACAGACTATCGAGTTAGGCAACTCGGCTCCATGGCACCTGGGCTCCAGTCTCCGACCCAGGCCGCGCAGCAGTCGGGAAGGGAAGCCTCCCCCCCATCCCCCCTCAATCGCCCCCTCCTGGTTCCGATTGAAAGTTTGATTACAACGCCGCGTTCAATGGGGGCCGCAGACACGCACACACGGTCAAATAGTGCGATCCAAAGCGATAATGTAGAGAGAGTACCAGCAGTTGAAATGAGGCAAATGAACCAGCCTTACTTGTCGCGCATATCGTCCAGTCATGAGGCCTATCGGATAATTAATTATTCAGCCATGCTCCCTCATCTTCTTTCTCTCTTTCTCCATCGCTCTCTCATTCACTCTTCCCACCTCAATAAGTAAACCACTTTCTCCCCCTCCCCCCCATCCCCTCCCTCCCCATCTCTCCCCTTTACATTCCTCCACGCCAAAATTACTTCACAATTGGAATCAATTTATCATGGAATTCGATCGTTCCACCAGTCTGCCTCCTCCCTCCCCCTCGGCCGTTGACAGCGACGGATCACTCCTCTAAGCCCCTCACCTGGCACCGGCGCCAACGTCCGGCGAGCCGTCGAACGCGGTTAGTTCATTTAACGAGGATCCCGTCAGCCACACAGAAAAACATTTAGCAGGCCGATGTAGGCCCGTTCGTTTCAGCTCACTCTCATCCTGTTACTGATGTTATTCATCCCTTCTCAGCATTCCTGCTGCGTAAAATAATTTACAAGCTACTGACACTTGTTTCATCAGTAATACGAAATAATTTCTTTTTTAATGACAAGTATTTTTTTCTTTTATCAGTGAGTTACTTACAGCAATATACAGACTAAGTAACAAATTACTCAGTAATCCTGCTGCATAAAAATATTTATAAGCTACTAATAAATAAATCAATACAGGCCTGAAAGTGCTGCTGAAATTTTAAACACAAATAACTTGACATTTTTAGCGTTAGATTTGTTATGTTCAACCTAATGCATGGAAGTTCTTTTTCGCAGAGTCTACACTAGAGCTGCAGTGAGCATACGTGTGGTTGTCTTTGTCACGCACGTAGTTAAGCACGCGTGCTGGGAATGCGGGATCTAGCCTGGGTTTGAGCGCCCTCTACCAACTACTCCCCCCCCCCCCCACCTCTCTCTCTCTCTCGTTATCTCACCCGGCCCGGTGCGCACGGCCGGAACGCACAAAGTCAATCACGCATATGGACACGAAAACACTCTCATCATTCCATTTCCGCTCGGTGCGCCTTCCTGCAGCGCCGACAAAGGGGGAAAGAGAGAGAGAGAGAGAGAGAGAGAGAGTTTTTAGTTTAGCAAATGATTTATTGGGGGGATTTCGTACAAAATGGGCCGAAAAGGGGTTGAGTCTTTTTGTCACAAGTAGCTGTCAAAGCAGCGAGCATGCAGTGCTGCTTGTTTGCGTCTAGAGTGTAATGTTTAATACAGCACTGAATAAAATAGAAAAAATACAGATTTGTTTCATAGTGAGGGATAGAGGTTTTTTCATATTTTTTAAAATATAATTACAAGGTAAATTGAATTGTAGTTAGATAATACTGGCTAAGCACTTAAATTACGTGAGGCACTTGTCATAATTCTTTTAAGGAAATTATTGTTAGGGCACAAAAGAGACAATTCGTTTAGTTTTGTTAAGAGCTCTGGCACATCTACATTTCGTCTGTAAACATTTGTGAATGTGTAGACTGCTCTTCTTATGTTAGTATCCCTCTTGCAATGACAAATAACATCAGCAAATAATTGTTCATCTAATTTAGTTTCATCAAAAGACATTGAACAAATAATTGTCTCAAGTTGATCACATTCTTGTTCTTTTGCTTTCATTTGTTCTAGTACCACCTTGTGGTGTTCTAAATGTTTTGAGGGTTTGGATGATTCTGATGATAAAGGTGATTCGGGAGAGAGAGATGTAGTTTGTCTCAGGACTTTTGATAACACTTCAGGTGATTGTGGGGAGAGAAGTCTTTTCTTGGGGTGAGCATTTG